TCAGCATTCAAGACATGGAATGTGAACAAGGCCAGGCCACGTGGCATGTGGAGGGCCAGTGCAGAAGCTTGGGTCACAAGGCAGTTCATGGAATGGCTATGTGAGGTGTTTGTACATACAATGAAGAAGTACTTTCTACCAACTGCCTGAAGGTGCCTTCTGATGGACAGTGCCCCAGCACACATTCCAGCCTTTGTGGAATGATGGGGATGCTGAGTGTGACATCACAAAGGTCAAATTCCTCCCTGAAACACAGACGTCATTTGCAGTATATGGGCCAGCATTGCAGTATATGGACCATTTGATCTGCAACTTCCAGAAGCGCTACCCAGAAGTGCTCTTCATCAGGTATTTTAATGTCACTGAAAAGATGCCCTTGACCCTGAGAAAGTTCTGAAGAAACATTCAGTATCCTCCACTGTATCAGCCTCATTATCAAAGCCTAGGAAGATGTTACATACCAGACCTTCAACTCAGCCTGGAGGAGACTGTAGCCAGAATGTCTCTGAACTTGGGTCTGAAGGACAAGTAATGGAAGAGACTGTGTCCATAAACAGGACAGTGGGTTGGATGGTGCAAACTTAGAGGAGCAGGCGCAGGACCATGAGGAGGAGCTGACTGTGGAAGAACTTGCCGAACTCCAGTGTGAGCAACAAGGTGCTTGTTGAGGAACATTCACTGAGGAAGAGGAAGATGAGGAGGAGGCTACCAGTGATGTGATAAAGTCCATTTAGAAAAATGAGTCCTCAAAGCACCACCCCAGTGTAATTGTAGTGAACAAAGTGTCGAGTCTGATGAACAACAACTGTCTCTCATTTCTGGGAGTTGTGAAGCACAGGAAAAAACAAATGACATTGCACAGATTTTCATCAAAAGTGACCCAGCTCCTAAAAGACAAGAGAAAAAACCCCTGAAGGAGATGTCCTTATAAAGTGGACTCTCCCTCCAAACAGTAAGCTCCTCCCCACCCACCTTCCTGTCCTCCTCACAGCCAGTGCAAGCAGTGTTCTGTCTTCATACTGTATTGTTCTTAGTTTCGTATTTTTGTGGTTAAAAAAGTACATACGATTCAGGACAGAGAAACCTTATTTATATTTAACCTTATGGGGAAATTTGATTTTGTTGTCAACCAAAATCAATTTACAACCACGTTCATAGTGATCAAAATGAATTAATCTTATTTACATTGAATTTTACGGAATTTGACGAAACTCACGAAATACTTTTTGGATACTCAAAGGGGTGATCCAGATTTTCCACTTTTAAATAACGTCTAGTTGGGCACCAGATGGTATTTTAAGTCACTGGCCCACGAGAGTTGATTTGGGTTTCAGTTCACCTCCTCCCATCATCCGGCCTCATTCTCATCACAATAGCTAACAAATGTGGGCAAGCCCGTGTGCAGGTGGGAACACAGCACTAGGGAAGATGAACTAGTGCTGCTTCCTTCTTGCCTGAGTTGCCTGTGCCCTGGCAGTGTCTGTTCTGCTTCCTCAGGCACCAGATCTCATCTGCCTGCTCAAAACCATTTTGCCTTCTGTCTGAGACCTACATAGGATATCCAGCGCTGTTTATTTCTCCAGGACTTCATTGTCAACCTGAGAAATTCTTTGACTCTGGAGTTACATTCAAGGAAAAATGAAAAAGTAAATAACCAAACTTATTAAATGGTCTTTATACACAACCTATGGTAATAAACTCTGGCCCCAAGGCGTAGCCAGGACTGTGAGTCACCGTCTAAGCAAAGTACACATGTTTATAGCAACCATCTTTATTCTTCAATCCTGGCTGCTTACGTTCTTTCCAAAGAACCAAACATCCAAAGAAAAATCATGAAGCTTCTATAATTGTGATTTCTCCTCTTCATAAGTCTGCTTCATCTCCGCTATTCAAGACCTTTCTATTACCTTTCTCTAGTCTTTGAGAAAACTAAATGACACTGTTAAGTCTATCAAGTCTCAATAACTTAGATTTTCAAAATAATCCTAGTAGGTTTTAGTTTTCTATAAATTATGGTAATAGGGCTGGAGAAATAGGGAGAGCAATCTATTTGAATTCATAGATGTATGCCTCACTCAGTAATTCATAACACCAATCAGAATACACCAAATCCTTTACTTAGATTTTAGGTATTTGAAAACAGTCTGAATGATTTTAAGCCAATTTTTAGATCAGACATGGTCAATATTATTTCTTAGTTAAATGTTATATTTTACCTAAGGACAAAATTGTTAGCTGTTTTCATTTTCTCCCATTAAATTTCATTCAAGTGTCTTTCTTCCTAAGGTCAGAGAAGAATATAAAGACTTTTGGAAGCCTTTTCTTCTGCAGTCTTTTGAAGCTGGCTGTGATTTCTTTAGCATAGATTATTACTTTGAAAAATAACTACACATCAGTTTTTTTATCCTTTCAAGATTTGTGCCTTTTTTTAAATCAAAGAAAAAGGAGAGGGAACTTACTGAAAAGAAGCTGCAGTGATTTTTCAGTCGTCACTGCTAGTTTGCACTTCATAGTGATAACAAGCTTCATTGAGGTTGAGGGCCTGCTGTCTGGTTCAAAAGTGGTGTCTCCTAGCTGTGGCCTCACGTGGTGAAAGGGGCAAGGCAAGGCGACACTCTAAGGTCTCCATTACAGTGGACATAACCCTATTCATTATGGCTCTACCCTCATCACTTAATCACTTCCTAAAGTTCCTATCTATTAATATCTTGGGATTTAGGTTTTAGTGTATGAATTTTTGAACATGCAGACGCTTAAACTGTAGTACATGGAAATCAGTTTAATCAATTTAAAGTATAGTACAGGGAAGCTGACAACAGTAACCCAAAGAGTATGATGGTGGCTTGGCATAGGGCAGTACCAGTGGGAACGCTGATGAATTCAGGTTATATATTAAGATACTCTCATAGGGCATGTATTTGGAATAGAATTACTTACGATGAAGGATGAAACTGAGTCTTAATTTTGGAGCATGATTAGACAAAAAAAAGCATGATTATGTAGATGGGGAAAATTTTAGAAGACTGAATTCTGGAGCAGAAGAGAAAGTGGTTCTATTCCAGCGGTATTGATTTTAATATACCTGTTAGAAATCTAAAAAGAGGTAAGTAGCGGGTGATGCGAGTCTGGAATTCACAGAAGGCAATCTACAGATCCAGTAGCTCACCTGGGAGAAAGTAGGACAGAATGAACTCTTAAACCAACCAGCATTTAGTGTTTATAGAGAGGAAAAGAGAAGACTAAAATACTGCGACTTGTGAAATGGTAAGAAAATACAGCAGGGTTTTTGTGACTATTTTGCCTCAAAACCTCAAGAAGAAAATTTTTGAAAGAAAAGAAAAATCAGTCTTATCAAAGTCACTACAAAACTGAGAAAGTGAACTATTTGGCAAGATAGAAGTCATTGACATATGGGAGGAATTGAGCAAGGAAGGGTAAATTAAAGGAATAAAAGGGAATCTAGGTCTGGGAAGAAGAATACAGTGGCTGGGACCTGGGGTCACCAATGGAGACCTTGCTGTTGACATAACTCTTTTCTTCGGGTTATTTAGAATGACAAAACTTAGGGACAAAATTCATGTTTTAAGAAGCTAGCACAAGTATTGTGTAATCAGACATCCCAAACCAAATCTTGTGAAGTGGGATTTGCTGGGCTAATGCAACGTGCCAAGTTTCTGTCCCAGGACAGCCTAAAACTCCCATGTGCCTTCTGACTTGGAGAGTTACTCGGGCTGAGTTACTTGAGCTACCCTAGCAGATCTCTCACCAATAGTGTGTTATGAAGGAGGAGAACTGTGATTTAGGCGAGTGAATAGCAAATAAGGCATAAATCAGGAATGATAGTAGTGGGAATCAGAAAGTCAAAGCACAGCATTGCAGATAAAAAGGCTGCAGGAAGACAAAGAGGTTTCACTAACTGGAATCTGGAAGGAAGCAGAGAGCTGGACTTGCAGTAAAAATAACCATCTTGTCAAATGGAATTGACAAAACTCAATGATACGACATTTCATTAGACTACGGGCCTGAAGTTAAGTAATGCTTCAATATGAGTTTGGATAGGTAGGTTTGGTGGAATTGCTTGAAGCCTAAATATAAGTTTAAGGGATGTCAATAAAGTATAAAGCTTAGAGACTAATACAGGGTATCTGGTGTGATTAACAAAGTATTATAAGCAAAACTAGGCATTAGGGGTTTTGTGGAAATGACAGAATGATTATTCTTTTTTCATCTTTCCCCCCAGAAATCCTAGATAATTAGAAGGTAAAGTGTCTTCAATGTAAAGTGTCATATTTCCCAAAAAGGACACAAATTTCTTTTCCTTTTCTTTCTTTCTTTTCTTCTTTCTTTTCTCTCTCTCTCTCTCTCTCTCTCTCTCTCTCTCTCTCTCTCTCTCTCTCTCTCTGTCTCTCTCTCTCTCTTTCTCTCTCTTTCCTGAAAACTGCCTTTATTCTTTGTATTTTGTGTACATACCTTATGATTGTATGGCTTGGAACAATAGTAAATATTTAATCTCTGTGATATACAATAACAAGAAAGTATTATGCTTAAAAATTTTATTGCACTCTAATGCCATTTATATTTCCAGAGTCTGCAAGAGACTTAAATGGTATTACATCAACCTTAATTAATGTTCAGTTGTGTGAAAACTTGTTCATGCTCGGAGGACTAGGCCAGGGTGCCACAGCTTTGAGTTAAGTTGCTGCAATAGCAGGAATACAATCCCTTGCAAAGATTCATAGGGGAGAGAACTCTTCCTAGAAATGCATCAGAAGCAGACTTAGCAAATGGTTCAATCCTTTTCTTACTGTGATCCATTATATCTGTAGCTTTTCAGTTTACACAATATATTTTTCTTTTCTGCTCATACATGAAGTATCATTTGGTATTCACCCCAAGACATTCTTATACACTAGAGAAATAATCAGATATTCAATTTAAATAAGAATGTAGTTTGTGAATGCATCCCAGAAAAAAATCACTAATGTTACTCTAATGTTTAGGGTATCTTCACATCATCTCGAAAAGAGAATTATGATGATGACTCAGCAGTGCTCTTCTTGGATCTTCATTGATGACAGGACATACATAACCAGGTAATGGCTGTTATCCTACTCCCCAGTCATTTGTAGAATATACTATGCAGATTTTTCTAAGCATGATACATGATCAAGATCAGTAATATGAATCACCACTTGAGACATTGGATAATAGGTTTATGAGTTCCTAAATAGTACTAACTCATATTCATTGAACTGTCACTCATATTTTGTTAATGGTGGTTTGATTTCCTTAAGAGCTACATTTCCATTTTAACTGTTGCAACAGTTCTAAAAAGCAGGACTAAGTGAGGGATCTATGACTCCTCAGATGCAATACAGCCAGAGAATTAGTTCAGAGGCCAATGACTGTGTTGTGTTCTGACTGCTCCTTTCCTTGTTCTTCATGACCTACTCTATTTCAGTTTCCCTTTTGACATTAAGTTATGCGATCTATGGCCAAGATTCACCACTCTTTTCTTTATACATGATAAATGGCATCTTATGTTTCTTTAGAAATAACACAACTATGAAAATGAAAACTGAATGTGGCCAGACGCTGGGAAAAGGAAAGATAAACTAGTAAAACATCCAGTGATCTAAAATAGGGCCTAAGTCACACACGTGTTGGGGAAAAAATAAAGCTGAATGACAGAGAAGAAGGTATGAATGGGGTTAGGCAGTAGAAGAGCAGAGAGGATAAGTATCAAAGATCATCAGGCACAGCTGGAGGTTGAGGATAAAATATAAGGACGAGAAAATGTTAAGTGAAAGATAGAAGATTCTTTTATTCAGTCTTCAAATATAAATACTTAATGACTGCTGACAGTGGACTGGTACTATTTTGAACCCCAGGCACTCAATAATGAACCAAACAAAATCCTTCCTTTCATCAGTGTTGTAGTTTAGATCTAAAATATCCCTCAAAATCTCACATTTTTAGGGTTATTGGATCAGGGATTCATCCATTGATGAGTTCAGGAATTGGATGTGCTGTTACAAAGTAGATCTTGACTCAGGTGGGTGATTGCAGGATGTAATCTAGAAAAGTGTGTTCCTACCTCTGGCTTCTCTCATCTCTCCCTGCTTCCTGACTGTTAAATACGTTTCCTCCCACTATGCCTTTTTACCATCCTCTTGCTGTTTTGGAGCCACCTGAGCATGGACTGAAACCATGAGCCAAGATGAACTTCCTCCTTTATCCTGTGTCAAGCAGCAGAGGTATTATCTTATCCCAGATGCTAAGATGGGATTAAAACCAATGGGGAGAGCACTGTCAGTAAGAAAGATAAATGATCAATGATGTGAAAAATAAAAATAAAGGAGGAATTAGAGTAAAAAGTTCTACAGGTAGAGAATCAGATAATTCCAGTTTAATATGGGTTTCCTGTAAAGTGTCCAGGGAAGTTTTGGTTAGCAGATAGCCCTGGAGGAAAAACCTGCAGGTGCATGCCTGTGGGCATTCTAGCAAAGGGGACAGTAAATCCGCAGGTATATCTGTGAGTGTTAAGGAGTCTACTGTAGAGAAATTGAAATATCAACACAAGAGGACAAGGTGAGATCAGAGACAGATACAGCCAGAAAATGTAGAGAAGAAATTAATTACATGGGTGAAAACATCAGATCAGATGCTTTTTTAGAAACATATTTAAGAGAGGAGAAGATAACCACAATGGAGCTGGTAGTTTAGAGCAGTGATGATAGTGGCTTGGCCAAGGCAGCAGTAGCAGAGATAGGAAAAAATGTATGTTCGGATTTTAGCTAGCCCTTAGTATTTGTGAGTTCCTTATAACCAGCCTTGGCTTTGAAATATTATGAGAAACTTTGTGTTTTTGCTGACTGTGTATAGATGTTTTCTTGTCTAATTCCCTAAACAACATACTGTTAACTATGCATATGGCCTGCATACTGTGGTAGACATTGTAAGTAATCTAGAGATGGTTTAAGTCAACAAGAGGATATGGTAGGTTATGTGCAAGTCTTCTACCACTTCAGGTGAGGGACCTGGACAGCTGCAGATTTTGCTAACTTTAGGCAGGAGGAACAAGTTCCCTGTAGATATACAGACTATCATTTAAAGGAAGGAATGTAGGGTTTCTTGAAGGATTCAATGTGAGGTATAGGAGAGAGTAACTAAGGTTAATTCTTATACTTTTGTTCTAAAATAGCAGGGTTAGTGTTCTCTTTTTAAAAATATTATCAGTATATTTGTGATACATAATAGTTACATTAGTTAGGGAATTAATACATATGTACATATCATATCTTGATCATTTTCCATCCATATTCCCCCTTTTCTTCTCCTCATCTTCTTCCCTATTGTTTTTTAAAATTTTTATTTAAAGAAAGACTAAGCAAAACAGAAAATGGGTAAAAGTAATACATACTTTCAAAGAAAAAAGTAAATAGTAAGAAATCACTAGTTGATGATTAAATATTGTCCTCTTACAAATAGTTGTTCAAGATACAAAAGTGAAATACACAAAGTGGGGATTCAAACAACAAGACTGCATACAGTTCTGTTCAACTATCCAATAAAAGCTTAATGATATGGTTATCAATTCTATACACTTAAACATACATGCAGTATCCATATCTTCATTTATGTTTAGATTAAACAAACCATAACAGGCTAAAATCACTCTGAACAAAGAATAATAGTATTGCTGGATTTCACATCCTGACGCTCCAGGATCAGCACTGGGTACTTTAGTGTCTCTTTTTCTTCAAAGTATTTGTTTGTTTCATGTGTTATAAGATCAGTTCTCATAAACTATAAAGGTTTTATGCAAGCATGAGTCTTAGCATGTATTTCTATCCTTTCTATATTAGAGGGAGAAACAAAACAAAGCAAGACAAAATAAAACATATTCCTGTAAACACATGAAACAAAAAAGACATAAAATCACTGTACAAGAAGTTTTACCATGGTTACTGTGTGATTTCTTGTTATTTTCAATAGAATTGTCTGTATCATCAGACATAGTATAATTGAATATAGCAGTACATAACAATATTAATAAAAACAAAACTTTGTAGATAGTGTAAAACTTCAAAAACAGGTAATAAACCAGAATGGATATTGTAATGAATCTTGTCATCTTCAGTGTAGTTGCCTAAACCCTCAGACTTGATACTATCACTTATAACAGTTTTGAATAAAATCTGTCAACATCAAACAGCAATCAAACAAATCAGATTTAACTAATATCAGTCATGATAAAACAGTATAAATTATACAGGGCTCGAGATTAAATTAATAGGAAATTAAAGATGATTACTGTACTATATCCTATTATTTTTTGGATAGCTGTCTGTGCCCTCAAATCTAGTGCAAATAGACAGACTGGGACAGAATAAAATCTAAGCAGAGCAATGCAAGTAATGTGGTTTTAAATCCTGTTACACTATTAACAATATCCTCTGCTATCTTTTTTTAAGACTATTCCTCTCCTTCCCCCCCGCCCAGGGTACACTGTGCATTATTGGGTCTCACCAACACCCTCAGTTTTTAGATTAGGGGCGCAACCTGCTATTTACCCAAGTGGTTCTGAACCTTCTCTCTCTTGGACTTGATCTCTAATTGTATTCCTTTACCTATTAAAGCCTGTCTTTCCAACCTATCCACAAATACTGGTCAAGTTGCCCGTATTTATTCTCTGGTTCCCTGTCACATAGAGCATTGTTTTCTCATATTTGATTTTCGGTCCATAAACTCTTTTTCAGGTTAGTTATATTTCCTATAAAGAACATCTCAGTGGACCCTACCTCCTGATCTACTTTGTCTGTGTTTGTCTTTTTTTTTCTTTCTCTTTTTTTTCTTTTTTTCTTTTTAGTATATCAAGGCCATCTATATTAGAGATTATAGTCAACCACCTCTGCCTCGTTTCTGTTGTGCTCTTTTTCTGCCATTAGTTGTCTACTTTTCTTCTTCATTCCACTTTCTGCTCCATTCATTGAGGCCTCCCTGCCACTGTTCCTGGAATGCTGGTACTTCTCTCTCTCTAGAACGACCTTCAGTATTGTCTGTAGAGTTGGAATGGTGGTCTTGAATTTCCCCAGTTCCTCTTTGTCTTGGAAGCGTCTTGTTTCTCCATTAATTTCTAGAGACAGTTTTGCAGGGTATATCAATCTGGGTTGGAGGTTATTTTCTTTCAGGGTTTGGAATATTTCGCTCCAAGCTCTTCTTGATTTGATGGTCTGTGTCGAGAAGTCTGCTGTGATTTTGATTGGTTTTCCTTTATAGGTGGTCTGCTTCTTTTCTCTGATGGCATTTAATATTCTGTTCTTATATTGAAATTCTGGGATCTTGATTATTATATGCCTGGTTGTGGCTCTGTTTTGGTTGTAGATGGCTGGAGTTCTGTATGCCTCATACATCTGAATATCATTTCCTTTTCCTATGTTTGGGAAGTTTTCCTTAATTATTTCTGTGAATAGCCTTTGTAGTTCCTTTGTTTGTGCCCCTGCTTCTTCATTCACATTCTTTATTCTTAAGTTACAGATCCTCATGGTGTCTTCTATCCTTTGTATTGTTAGTACCTGTTTCTTTGTTATTTTTAAAAAATTTTTCCTTTCATGATTACACATTGCAAACCTGTCTTCCAATTTGGATAATCTGTTCTCAGGGTTGAGGGCTGGGGACTTTTTCTTGTTGCTTCTTCTCATGTTTTTGGTTTATTCCATACAGGCGTATAGAGGCGGTCCCAGTTCCTTTCCTTGTTGGTTATGGTTCTTCTAAAGCATGCTGACTAGGTAGTCCTGCCCACTCCAGTGTGTTACTGAGGTGCAAACAGGGGTGGCGTATGCTGACTCCTCCCCTCCAGGTCAGTCAACCTGCTGAGGCCTTCACTCCCTTAGTGCCTGCTGCCCATAGGGAACTGGTTTGGGACAGCTTCCTGGGTCTTAGCCAGGGGTGTGACCCAGTCCAAGCATACCCCACCAATCTCATGTGGAAAGGGAACAACTGACTGAAGTCATTGTTCTTGTTCAGTCCTGCCCGATTCCAAAATGTCATCCCGTTGGTGCCCCTTTCCCATGGAAAGGTTTTATTCCTG